TTATGATTCATAGTGATGCCATGAACAATGGATTTATACTGGGTCTGATCCTGCGTCATCCTCATCATCTCTGATACACTTGAGCCCATTATTACACTTACCATGTCAATCGATCTTATTGAGGGCCTTTCCTTCCTTGGTCAACCCTCCACCTTTCCAAGCATGATGTCCTTTCCCATGGACTGGTCTCAAAAAACCCTCCATAAGCTTGTGGTTATTTCCCCACCTTCGAATACAAACTTTATGAAGACAAAGACTTTGTCTATCAAAGTTATTATCTCTAATATTCAGAATAACAACAAAGCATATAGTTGTGGTTGTTAGTAACTGCTGAGTTGGAACTAGCCCGTACTTGGCCCTCCAGTGGGTTTTCAGAGGCAGCAAATTGCCCAGTTGGAGACTGCCCGTCTTTCTCACACGGAGCAGCGGACTGCACAACTTGGGGTAAGCAGTGCAGCTCCCTACCACGAAGTCACCACAGCTCTGCTGGCACACAGCACGAACTCATCAATATTTATTAAATGGGAGAATAAATGAATTCAACTCCAACAAAAGATTCACGTACGTTGAGACTGATACAATGGTATTAGTGATTTCTTCCACAGAGAACTTGGTTCAGAATGTACTGCGTGCCTCTTACTGGTGTGCCCCTTAAAGGCTGCTCTGGGGACCTAGAGGTGAAGAGCTGTGCTGCCCTCCCAAAGGCGGCTGTATGCATCCATTAGCTGCTCTGCAGTCGTGTGATTTACTGCTTCTGAAAACCCACTGAAGGGTCAGCTTTGAGTCAAGGGTATAACAACAACAACAACAATAACAACTCTATGGGTCAAGGAAGCGCTGGGGGTTTGAATCCATCTGTTGCTCTGCAGGAGGAAGATGGTCAGGCCCCTCCCAGGTGACTACCTGCCTCTGAAAACCCACTGGAGGATCAGTCAGGGGTTGGTTCCCCTAGACGGTACTCAAGAAACTTTCAGGAGAAGGGAACATAAAGACCAAACAAGGAATTTACTACCATGGACGGTGGACTATCACAGTGACCCTGTGCACAGGACTTCCCACAGAGCTTCTGAGGCCGAGAATCGTTGTGGAAGCAGACTCCTGCACATTTGTCTTGAGAACAGGCTATTTGATTTGAACTCCTGATCTACAGCACTTTACCACGGTGCAACAAAGTCTCGTGTATTGTTTGTTGTGAGCTAAAAGTGACCTGACAGGATTAAGTAGAATCATCCAAAGTCATCAAACTAGCAGTAATTCCAGCAGACTGTGTAATGAGTACAGAAAAACATAAATGCTAGTAGAAGCACAGAAGAAACCAGGATGCCCTGTTGTCATTGACAGGCCTGGCACATGCAGAATACATACTAGGGTGTAGAAAGGCAAGCACACATAAATAAAATATCCTAGACTCATGACAGTGGTCAAGAGACACAACAAATGGATTAATATACTTTTCAGAATCTAATTAATAAATTACATAATTATCATGTCTTTGGAAAAAAATCAAAGCTATGTGAAACTATGACACAAAAGTACCCTTTATATTCTGAGAGAGAAAATTTTGTCGTATTTTGTCTTTTATTTCGCTCTCTCTCTTTTATGAATTCTTTCTTCTTTCTCTAGCTCTGCCATTCAAAATTGTTTAATGTGGTATAGGATTATTAAGGAACAGATATGTTTCCCTTGCAATGTGTGAAGAGTGATAGAATAAAAACAGGCAGTGAGCCGGAGTGTGAGCTTTTTACAAATTGACCGGCACCTGTGTTCTCATCAGAGCCTGAGTCCTTCCTTACTCACTGGATGACGCTGCACAAGCCAGGTCTGCCTATCTCTGCTGTACTTTCTTCACCTACAAAATGACGTTGCTAATATTACTTACTTTGTAGAGCTGTGAGCAAGAAAACAATGCTTCAATGTGTTAAAAAAAAAAAACAACCAACAAAAACAAACCCACAAAACTCACTGAAGTCAAGTTGGTCAAATGCATAGCTGACCATCCAGGTGGTTATTAAGAGGCTACAAATGGCACGGCAGGGGTTTACTCACCTTTCTCCCAAGGAGAGCAGCCAGAGAGGCGCCATTTGTGGATCAGCAGTACAAAGCCTTACCTACTAGGCTCCCTGATGAATGTGTTCAATCTTAGGAGACCATCACTGTCAGCATCATCGTGACTGCACGTTTTGGTGGGCACTACGTTTTAAATAACTGTAAATAAACTTGTGCTCAGTATTAAGTTTGGTGATGAGGATACTGGCGGCTCCCTCCAATGCGGGCTAGGGGAAATGGTGCAACAGCAAGTAATGAAAATGATTTTAACAAGAAGTGTTGTCTTTCAGTCGGGGGGGGGGGGGGCGGGGAGATGGAGCCTCCTTATAAGGTTGAAATCCTTTAACTCTTGTAGTTAGCCTCCACTCTGCAATCAACCTGAGTGTCACTCCCTTCTATTAACACACTAATAGGATCTTGCGATTTTGTATCAACTGGAAAATCCTTTGTGAACTATCTGGTTTACCTAGTTGAATGATGATTTGCCTTGGCATGTGAGTTAGACTGAATGAAATGGTTTACACAAAACGCCAAACCATCTGCGGAGTTGATTCCAACTCACAGTAACCCCAAAAGACAGAGGAGAACTTTATATGATGTGTCTGTTACTCAGGAAGGCGGTGGTGGCTTTGTGGTAGAATCCTCACTTTCCATATAGGGGACTGGTATTCAATTCCTGGCCTTTGCATAAACACAGACTTCATTTATCTATTGTTGTAGGCCTGGCTGTTGCTATGATGAACAGGGTTCAGGGCAGCTTCCAGGTCAAGACAAATGAAGAAGAAAGGCCTGGTTATCTACATCTGAAAAACCAGCCAATAATGCTGCTACATGGATCACAACAGCTGATGAGATAGCAGTTATCTACAACACAGTGAGTAGGCAGTGTAGGTACTAGCCCACTGGTTTTTCCTTTTAAAAAACATCATCCAATTTATGTATTTTGTCATCAAATACCACATTCCTGAAAAGTCACTGGATGCCTTGTGAGATAATGTGCAAATAAATTTCAAACAGAATATCGACAGTACTGAAGGCACAGGTTTTGAAAGAAAGCTTCTGAAAGGTAAGAGGAGTATTATACTAAACAAATGCTTTCCTGATTTGAAATATACTTTGTTTCCTGGGCAGTAAGTAATCAACAACTACATTTCACAGTTCATCTGGGAGACAAATACAGACTGTAATTCCAGACTCTGGAGCTCACATAACTACCAGCCAACTGCCATATTTGGACTACCTTATTTTATTATAAAACTTGGGGGATTTTCATAGAACAATAAGAAAGTGGGTTGTCTTTCTCAAGTTTCTGAGCCAACACCTGCTGCCCACCAGTGGGCCCCTATTTGCTATAATTACTGGAATATAGGATTTTGTCTCTAAGCTTTCATGCAAATTGAAGCATACAAAAAAGCAGAAGTACTGTCTTGTACATTAGATTCAGTAGAGTGAAGTGGGTCTCTTGAGCCCTATTTAATCATCTTTTGAAAGAAGAGACATTTTGGGGGAGTAATTACTGTAAGTTGTGTCAATCCACAGGATAAAAAGATGTCTATTTTGCTGTGTGTGAAAGAGCATGGCAGCAGATAGCACCCCAAACCAAATACGATTCCTAGTAAGTACATAGAAGAAAAACAATCCATAGACATGAGAAATGTTTTCTATTCTGATACCTGAAAAGGTCAGAGCATCTTCACTTTCAAAAAAGAGCTTTTAAAAATATGATGTGTGTGTGTGTGTGTGTGTGTGTGTGTGTGTGTGTACGCGTGCTGCTATATACATTTCCACCACACAGTCACACACATCTAGATATAATTTATAGTCACTGAGGACTTGGGCAGCTAGAGTGGAGGTAGGGTCTTCCTTGATTTTTTACTAATGGATGATTAGGCCAAATCTGATTTTATATTTAGACTAAATTATAAAACCCTAAGGATATAACAAAGCACACCCACAGTTCTGGGAATTATTGGAAGAAAAGTAGTTTAATAAATGACATTTAGTCATGTCTTTTTCTCACTAGAGGTGACAGCACCAAGCCGGTCTTATTAACATGTTTGATTACGCTTTGTTACAGCTACAAATAAGACGAGTGATTCTTTTTATTAATAGGATCTCAATTGCCAGCCTGTAGCCAGTAATTTCAAAGCCAGGAAAAAAAAATACTTGTAGCATAAAAATGTTCACATTCAATTTTTCAGTAAAAGCTATACCACCTTCATCTTTTTTCTATACTGTTGGTAAAAATCCTTAAATAAATTTTATGCCTTTGAATCACATTCTAACTCTATAAATGAATTTATTTTTTTAAACAACACCAAAAAACCACAACAATGGAAAAAAGTTGGCGCAACAATGAAACAGTAGATTTCCCCTTTAATTCAACTCCCTAACTTACATTCTTAAAACTTTACGTTGTCCGATACAGCACTTCTCCCCTCCCCTTATACTTTATGTATATGAGTATGCAGAGCTGCCAGTTTTTAACTAAAAAAAAATATCAGGAGCTCACTGTCTTTTGGGTGTCATTTTTAAGGCCATTCAGTACATCCAAGCTGAAATGATCATATGTATGTATGCTTTTGTTAAAATGGTAATAAGAAGTTTTAGCTTAGTATAATATATAGTACTTAGCTGGTACTAGAAACAATGAATGATATACTGCATTTCAGTAATTAGTAAATTGAACATTTTTTGTCTAATTTAACTAGAAATGAGAAAAAAGTAAAATATTTTTCATATATACAAAACATACTATATTAATAAAGTATATGCATAAAATCATATATTGAGTAAGAAGCAAAATTAAAAAGACAGTACCTTATAATATTCCTGATTAATCAGAGTTCCTAGATTATAAAACAATAAATGAAAGTGCCCTGCCATTTAAAAAAATTAGTACGTTATACAACTTCTACATAAGTCCAAGGAAATAAAGATCTTGTGACATTGTTCTGAGGAATCTTGACATTTATAAAAATTGAAGGCCTAATTTTGCAAATACAACTTTCAAGCTGTATGAGCAAATATAACTTACGTGAAAGGCACAGGATGACATCACGGTGAAGAACGTACCTGTAAATTTCATAAACTATAGTCACAAGTCACTAGGTTTCAGAAGGACTCTCACTACTGTATCTACCATGATGTTCTGATTCACGCTGAGCACAGGTGAGTCCTTAGATCACAAATGTCAATTGTCTGAGTAAGACTGACGATTTCAAGAGAGAACGGTTTATTTTGAATGCTACCTGCTGGATAGAGAGCTGGTTACTAAAATAGTCAGAGTAGATAATGAAAATTCTCTTTAACTTGAATTGTTTTCAATTTTCAGCAGCTTAGCTACCGTATGTTACAGTTTATAAAAAAACTCCAAAACGTATTTTTCACATTACCACAATTTTAAAGAGTTCATTGTCGAAAGTGATTGTAAAGTCTTGCTCTATTAGCTTCCTACATTGGAATACGAGAATACAGGAAGTGCTTTCCACAGAAAGTTACATAGTTCTACAGTACAACCTGTCTAAAAGACTCGCAAGGGATCAGTGCAGTGACTTGGTCCCTTTGGATCAGGCAAAAGCAGAGGCAAATGAAGAAAGAATTTTTTTTATAACATGTTAAAAAAACTTTTGTGAAAATGAGTACTTGCTTGCACTTAGATCTAGTGCTGTTGTGAAGAACTGAGGCACAATGACACTAAGAGCACAGCGAGGAAATACCCGAAATAAAGCAATTTTCTATGTGTTTGAGATTCTCCCTCATGTGAGACCTGGCATAGAATTGGAGAATTACTTTTTTTTTTATATTAAAGATTTCTAAATATCAAAGACTGGTCAGACAAAACATGTTTTATGGGAGACAGAGTGGTACTAGAGTTGCAACTAAAAATATGATTTAAAAAATACACTCATAATTGCAATTTTTAATGAAATTACTGGCTCTTTTGATAACATAAACTGCTACCCAAAAGCATGTTATTAAACCGGTGAAGGATTATTAATTTAACAGTAATGATAAAATGAAAAAACTTTCTCATTTTCCCCAAACAAGCTCTCTCAGAGACACATTTTTTCTTCGTGTATGTAAACATTTGATGTTCTTTCCATGAAATTTAAAGCATTGTGGTAGAATGTTGAATATGATTCTTCAAAGAACAGATCTTCAAATGGTAGCTAGAGAAAAACAGTGATGCTGTAATCAGAATTAGTGCTGCCCTGGATTGAGATTGCTTCTTGATTCTACTCATTCATCATGACTCTAACAAGGCATGCCATCTACAGACTTGCTGTCCTTTGGACTCTTTCATTTCAGTCCAGTGATTGAGTTCCTCTTCTCCAGAGCTGTTCAGACCTAAAGAAATCCAGCCTATCATCTCTTTTCTTTTCATGCTGCGTTTGTTATACACAGACAGTATGAGTGTCACATCAGAAAGCTGAAATAGGGCCACTTGAAAAACAAAGGTTTCCTTGTACACTGGATTTGGTTGCCCTCTGCGGATGGATGTCTTGCATTTGGACATCTCCTGGCCCATGGAATTCAGCAGTGTTAACTTAACATAGGTATCTACAGAAAAAAACAACAAACAAAACAAACAACATACCACAAACATCATTTGAAACAAACTCAAAACAACTTTCTTGCAACATTTTCTAAGAAGACGAAGTATTTATGGTTGATAAGGATATGGTGTATACCATATTTAATGGAAATTTGACCATTAATTAAACCATTCTAATTTGGTGAAGATGCTTAAAAAATGTGACAAGTATAGTGAATACTTTGGAGCCATAAGTATTTTTTGGGTAATAATATCTTGACCTCACTATTTGCCCATTTACAGTTAGAATTTAAAGGTATACCTCATAATCCTTCATCCACCCTCCCACCATCCAGCCTCGACCACCCACTATCCCCCCTGCCCGTTCCCATTTAGCTTCACTAAGCAGGACATCATAGCATTAATAAACACTTAGCAAGCTTAATTAGCCACAAGACTAAAGCATTCCACTGTGTTTTCAGAGAATAAGGATAAACAAACAAATAGAAATGAAGGCAAATGGTGAAGAGAAAAGAGGAAGACAAGAAGGCAAAGGTGACATCAAAACAGCTTAGGATGAAATGTCAAAAAATCTCTGCATGGATGTGGTTTTATTTTTATTTTTTTTAATTAAGGGCTCAAGTGAAGCCTAATACATTAAGGGCTCAAATTTTAGTAAACCAAGTAAAAGTTTCTCCTGGTTTCATGCAAGAATACATTTAATATACTTTTTTATCTAATGGTTGGAAATACTAGAGGGCTTCTTTCTGGCACAATTTAATGCAAAGTTTTATGTATGATATCTTGGATTATTTTAATGAATTAGATTAAAAAAATAAACACAAACTGGTGTGATGTTTAGTGTACAAAGTGAAATGTAAAGTCCAATGTCTCATAATTTGGGAGATAAATCCTCTTTATAAAATATTTTTTATTTTTAAGTTTTTTCAGACTCATGCAAATGATCTTCAGCATGTTGATCCATCATGTGTACTTCAACTCAAAATGTAATTAAGTAAAAACAATTGCAGTATTTATCACAAAATTGCTCTTTTATTTCTGTCATAGGAATCAAAGTACAATGAATGAAAAAATATTTTATTTTAGGAAGGTTTGCTTGTTTTATAGATATTCTGAATACCACCATCCATAATCAGAGATACAGTCTAAGTTAGTTTTATTTAAAGTACCACAGATAATAAATGTGCAATTTGTTTGGAAACCAACATGGTGGACAGCTTCACTGCTGGCAACTTTTAGGGTATTTTGTTTTTGCATGAAAAGACAACATCCAATTAGCCTCTACAGGAACTCACCTCGGATTATATAAACCTGTCCACCTATCAAGTGTTTTAGACAACAGAACAGTCCATCTGACAACAGGGGGTGGAAAGCAGTAAAAGAAATAATGACCAGATGTCAATTGTTGGGTGAGAGAGGGTCAAAGGTTAGAATTAAAGAGGAAACACTGTTCACTGAAGTGGAAGAACACAAACTTTAGCATTTTAATTCAGGTAGAGGGTTGAACAAAAGGGTTGTGGGATAAATTTCACAGAATGAGAATTTTAAAGGTCTTGAACAAAAACTACAATTTATTTTTTTAAAGGGGACATCGTTATAATAATATTTTCTTGGTTCAAAGTACATTGAACATAGAATCATGCAAATTAAGACTCTAAAAGATTGGATAAAAGTCACTGTAGGGCTATGATTCTAAATTTTACATTTACCACAAAATAGTAATTAGCACTTTTATTACCCACAAAGTAATACAACATTAAGTTAAGCAAAAGAAAATAAATTTATAAGCTATCTTTCATTTTAATCTAGAAAGATTTTCAATTTCATGTAATTATTTTAATGTTAACTTACACATGTTCACGAGATACCTTCCAGACAACACTGTTAACCATCTGATACTGAAGATTTAATTTTAAGATAATGCTAATTGTTTGCCTACTCTTGTATCTGAAAGAGCCACTCTTAAGTTGTAGATGCCAAACCTTCAAATGTTTTTATCACAACTTGGTGAACTTCTGGGTATTTTGGATAACATGATCTCTCCTTGTGACAAGTCATTTCTTCTTTTGTTTGATTGTTTTCCACCATGCCCCTTCCCCACTGGAGTTCTGATTGTTTCTCTCAAATTGGCTACTGAAGGGATAGGGAGGCAAACTATATAATTTCATTCTGCTGCATTTTAGCATATTCAATTTCATATCTACTAGTTATTTTTTAAATTGTACCCAAGGCAAAAGTGGTAAACTTCCTGTGACTAAATGTGAGCCAAATCACGTTTTGTTTCTTTGGCACAGTGTAGGACATTTTTTGAATCTGAAGTTGGAAGGCAGAGTATGTAACCCTGAGTTGGTCACAGGTTTCACCAAGCTTCATAGTCTTTTCAGTTTGCATTTTAAGTGTCAGTAAATGAAAGAAATAAAGTCACTTTCAAATCTTTTACTATAGTAATTGTCAACTGTCTGAATAAAAACTTTTTTCTACAATAAGAAGGGGCCAAAAATAATTCCATCCTTTGATTAAGCATCTTTACCTGATTTGAATCACACAACTATCCTGTAAAAGACATAATCTTACTTAAAGTAACAGTCTTAGAAGAGTTAGGTCACTTGTTCATGGGTAGGAAAGAATGTAAGTATAGCATTCTCACTTTTAATTCAGGGACAGACATATTCCCTGACATATATTAAAAGTAAAGTCCTCAGTCGCTATGGGCAAACCAAGTACACTTTTCCGAGTTTTCATCATCATTGAATAAGGACAGTTTACAATTAGGATTTTTAGAATGCTTAGAAGTAGAATTATTTTATTTCAAAGGTAGAAAACGTTTCCCTTCTTACAAGAATTATTTGATACTTTGAATAAAAAATTGCTCACAAAAGCCATAGGAGTCTTTAAGCAAATCTAAGGGACACTGTTCAGATTTCCTGCAAAATTTTTACTTTAGGGCATTATCAACTTTGATTTGAGAAAATATGAGGAAGCTGCTATTTTCCCAGTTTGAGCAGTCATTGGCAATAACAGTTACTTTGAGATGTCCATTGATGACAATTTCTCTGCACTCCTGTAATTCCCTCCTTACTCCCCGTGAGCTAGAGGAAACATAAGATCAAGAGACAGGGCAGGAGTATGCTATCTTGCTTTCCCTTGGTTTCTAGGGTAAAGACCAGACTGTTCTTTGCTGTGTCCTGGCAATGGCAAAGGTTTTTCCATTTTAGAACTCTCTGCTGGCAGTACTGCTTATAGCTTTAAAGGAGAAGAAATGTGAAGAAATAATTTCTTAAATGGTTAAGGGAGTAAAGAAGGAAAAAATAGAAGTAAATTGGTTCATTATTGCATGCAGACAGAAAACACAGCACTGATTGTCAATTAACAAGAGTTATCTACACTCCTGTTAATATCTGTGGAATATTATTCACTTTCTTAAAGACCCTGTTCATTTTTCCTAATACTTGAATATAATGGCTAGATGAGGGCAATTTATATTCAGTCATTATGAAAAATTAAAAGTCCTGCCACTTCACAATTAATATTTTGAATTCCAAATTTTCCTACTTCTCAATGACTAGAAATAGAAAACATGAAACAGATTAGCTTATTATGACACCATTTCATTTTGATTAGTTCACACTAAAAGACAGGACTGAAGCCCCTAACACTGAGAGTCCCACAAGAGCAGAAAACATTAGAATTAAAGGGGAGGGGAGAATCCACTCACTGGGTGGTCTGTTTGCTGCCAAATTTCTGAAGTGGCTGCCTTTTATCACTTCTGCCGATAGTCTTCCAGTTGTGGCATTATAAAGCAGGCCAATGAGAATTTCTGGAACTGAGCCATGTTCAAGAGACTGACATGAGGAGGTACTTCCACTACATGACATTTCTGACATGCTCATCTGGGAGTCACAGCCCTGTAACAAAAAATGAAATTTTTATGGTATTGTGTAAAAGAGATATGTTAAGAGGTGCACTGTTAATGAGATTTTTATTGGCATTAGATAGGTAAAGCATAATAAAGAAGGGAATTACAAGCCTAGTTCCCCAAACAATAGATTAGAAATATTGCCCTTAGTGTATTTGAACCCTTGGATTTATACCAAAAACAACAGATTAGAATAAATACCATTCTTCTTGTTATGTGCCATTGATGTGCCTGTGACTCACGGGGAACCCTAAACCCTGCTCTATCATGTGCCAATCTTAGTGTCTCTGACACACATACCCCCATTACCCCAGTCACTAAATCAATCCATCTTATTGAGGGTCTTCCTGTCCTGCATTCTCCCTCCACCCTTCCAAGCATGACATCCCTCTCGAAGGAAGGACTGGTCCCTCCTTGCAACACGTCCAAAGTATGTCAGACGAAGTTTCTGAATACTCGCGTCCAAGGAGCAGTCTGGTCTCACCCTCTCCACGATGAGACTGTTCATTCTCCTAGCAGTTCCATGGTATATTCAATACTCTTCTCCAGCATCACAGCTCAAAGGCATCAATTCTCCTTCTATCATCCCTAGTCATTGTCCAGCTCTCTGATGCATAGTAAGTGATGCATGGTGTTTGCATGGTGACTGCAAACACCATGGACTGTATCAGGCACACCTTAGTCTCCACTCAAGTATATTTTGATCCTTAGTGTGCTGTATTTAATTCATTATACCATGATCCATGACAGATATATGCGTACCTATGTTCACTACAGCACTATTTACCATAGCAAAGCAATGGGCACAATTTAAGTGTCTCTCAAGAGACGAATGGATAAAGAAATTATGGTACAATTACACAATGGAATACTATGCAAAAATAAAAAACAATAAAGAATCTGTGAATAGTTGAATAAAAAAATTAATTTGCTTTGTAAAATCTTACTCAAATAACAATTAAAAAAGAAAAGAAATAATAGGACATGAGAAGCTTTCATAAATCCTCTCCATACTAAGATATCAGAGAAGACAAACTCAATGGCATTTGTAAGCTGTTAATTTTCTGAATTTCATAATTTATCATTTAAAGAATGATTGACCTTAGGGCCACTGTTGTAAAATGGGCCTGACATCAGGATTGAGGAAGACAGAAAAGGAGGGGAGGAATGATGTATATTGTATTGAAACAGGTGAGGGAGAGAACTGTTTAAAAGGGATATGTTGTTGTTCTTGTTGTTATGTGCCGTCGAGTCGCTTGCGACTCATATGTACAACAGCCCTAAACTCCGCTCTGTCCTGTGCCAATCGCACTGTCTCTGACACTCCCATCCCAATTATCCCAGTCACTGAATCAATCCACCTCAT